TCCTTAAGTAGTGCTGGCCTCTCCCCGTTGGGTCTGCATTGTCTCAATTCGGCCTGTCCTCTTGTCCCAGACCCTGCATTGCATGTGTCCCAGAGCATTCCCAATGAAAAGCAACTGCTGTGGAGGCCCTTTGGCCTGGATACGAATTTTGAAGTCTGGATCTGGACTGCCCCCATGACTCAGACCAAAAACTGGGACATAACTGTTGACTTCCTTTTGAATAGTCACATCTAGACGAACAGACACAATTTCTCTTCTTTACACGAACAGGCACAATGGCTGCTCGTAAAGACACACCTTATTCATGACCTACACAACTGCTGGCGAACAGGTAAGTCTTTTGACAATGCCCTTTGCTTCAGGATGTGCCCGTTGGTAGAGAACTTGGACTCTTGACCTGCTTTTCACGTTTCTGAGCCCTGGCGAGATACCTTTTCAGGCTGCTTTACTTTTACATGGCCCACGTTGCTTAGTTACAAGGCCTGAGGCCTACATTGGGTGAAAAAGGCCCTTTCACGGTACTTGCTTGACTGGACTCTGACTGACTGGGGCCGGTACCGCTGACTGCATCAATGACCCCACCAAACCCCTATACATCCCCCCAACACCCCTAAGCCACCCCTCAACACCCTCATCCCCCCCCCAAATACCCTGTATACCGCCCCTATACCACCCTATATACCCCCGTACCCCCTCTATCCCCCCCCAATAACCCCCCCTTCCTCCCCCCCGATCCCGAAAAGTTTCTCATCGGATTTGGACTGTACCAGCAAGCGCAGTACAGCCCCATAGTCAGATTGAAAAAATCAGTGTTTGGCTGTTTACTGACTGGCCGGTAGATCGCCGACCTTTCGCCCTACCGGTCGGCGATCGGTGGGCATGCAACCCTGGTGTTCTAGGATTTACTTTCACGATCACAGTTCTTTCTTTTCAGTATTAACCCTTTACTGAGTCTCAAGTATGGAAAGGAGTGTACTTCTCCCTTGTATCTGAACCGTGTTGCATGCTTTCACTGCTCAGTTCAAGTCAGTCAAGTTTTAGCATGGCAGATGCTACTTACGCTTGTCAACATGAATGATGTGATGTCTCTATTATTTCTCTTTTTTGTTTGAAGGGCGACGGCCTCGAGATATCATGATTGAACTGACCCACCCAGGTAATTGAGAATTATTTCATTCTGTTCATCTGGATTCAAACTTTAGTCTGTTCCAACAGTTCACGGGTGTATCAACTGAGCTAGGCCCGATGGTTTCAACGGTTCACGGGTGTACTAACTGAGCTAGGCCCATTGGTCATTGGTTGTCGTCTCTATTGTGTTCTCTCTTGACCGTGATGTTTGGTTCTGCAACATGGCACAGGCTTCTGGCATTTTTGGTAATGGTCTTCATTGTCTGGGCGCCTATCTTGCTTCCGTTGCTTCCAGCATTGCTTCAGCAGTATGCAAATGCTCAAGGGGCTAGAGTGGTGCACGTTGCTGTGGCTGTGGGCCTGTATGTGGCCATTCTAATACTAGTAAGAATCAATGTCTTTTGCCTGTTAACTTCATAGACTTTTGTTTTCTTTGTTCCCTCACTCCAAGTGGTCCATTGCATCTTCAGCGAAAATTGAAATTTTGCCATAGTGCCACTCAGTGCTGCAAAAGAGCACCATTCCCCTCTCCTTTCAGTGTGTATCGTCCAATGAGGGCCATCCATTCACTCCATCTCCATGGCAATCCTGCTGAAGACCATTGCATGTTACCCTAGCATCCAAGCTAGAAACCTCCATCTGTCAAAACAGTTCCACAAAAGAGGATGTAAAGAGTGTGGTGTCACACTTCGTTCAGGGTGCAAGCTCAACACCCTTTAAGAGCAAGAATACATCTAATGCCTCTTCTCCTTGAATGTATGCGTTTGTGATTGGTGAGATGGTGATCTACTCTCTTGAGCGTTTGCGGTTCAGGGAATGGTGAAGGCCTTGGACACCAATGATTCGTTTTTTCCTAACCAACGACTTATGATAGTATGCTCAGTAACCCTGGTGAACAAGCTCGGTAGCTCTTCTGATATCTTGTTTAGACAGTTAACAGAGAGCAGATTTCAATCAGACAGCGAAGAGGTTGGTGGGACGCCTTGGACACCAATGGTATTTTTCAACTTTCTTTTTGTAGTAACCAATGACTAACCATAGTATGTTCAGTGACTTTGCCACTCTGGTGAATAAGCTTGGTAGCACTTCTGATATCTTGCTCAGAGAGTTAACAGAGAGCAGATTTCAATCAGACAGCATATAGGTTGGTGGGTCGGGTGGACAAGATAAGCGGGAGAATGACTACTTTGGGGTGTTGATAAGTTTCAAGATTATCATTATGACTGCGCTCTGTGGAAGTTTGTGCCACTTGTGCCTTCTCTTCTGTGTTTCAAGCACACCCAATCATACAGCTGTTTGTGGTCGGATCTAATGTTTCTCTCCTCTTTGGTCTTTTTTTCAGTGATTGAATTTATACCGAGCTTGAGCTCTTCTCCATATCTTCCTTTTTGTTCTGAGGTCAGCTTCGGGTGCGTAGTACCAATGTCGGAGAGAAGCTGTGCCGTTTCTGGATTAGTCCTCTGTTCTACACACCCAATCAGACAGCTTGTGTTGTCGGCTTTATGTTTCTCTCCTCTCTGGGCTGTTTGTAGTGATTGAATGTACACAAATGAGCTTCAGAGGCAGCATCCAAAAGAAAGGCAAGTAGTGCGGAAGACAAGGCAAGCGGATGGGCACCAAGGCGGGGAGGCAGCACAACCAACATGGCCCAAACAGCTTATCACTTACACGGTAGACTGTTTCCTCCCACCACCGTCGGGGGCAGGAAGCCACTCCAACGACGTCTCGTGTCACCCAAGAACACGCAGCCAGAGCCCCCCCTAGTAGTCTTGCAGGCACTCAACAAATGAGCACCGACTATTTGGCACTTCTTAGAGGTGCTCACTTAGACACAGGAAGTAAGAATAAAAAGCATATAAAAAGCATCAAGGAGGACAGGCGTACGTATGATTGTCTGTGTGTGCTTCAGCTTTCCTTTATTTCTGGGGGGAGTTCTCTTTGTCTGTGTGTGTTTCAGCTTTCCTTTATTTTTTGGGGGGGGTCTCTTCTCTTTCCTGGGGAAGCGGTTCCCACCACCTGGCCACGTCACACACACACACACACACACACACACACACACACACACAGACACACACAC